AGAGGCTTAGAAAGAACATTTCTTGAATGAGGTGGAGCAGGAGAGTAGTCTTGAGCTCCAACAACACTTTCATTTTACTTTAAAATATTCTCAGTATGTGTTGCTTTGCATTATTGTTGTTATTGTTTTTATTTGTAATATGCTAAGTAAGGCCTCAAGATTTGTAGAGAGAATCTTCACAAGAGGCCATCCAGCCAATGCTAGACAAACACTATGTGGCTTCGGTGAGGTGGATACTGCAGTTGTTAAGTGAATCATTGTAGTTATTAAGTGAATCCATCTTCCCTCATTGACGTTACTTGTTGGAAGATGGCTGGGATGATCACAAATGGCAGTCACATGACCCTGGGGCATTGCACCCATTGTACAATATATGTGCCCAAATTTTGATCACATGACCCATGGGGATGGTGCGATGGTTGTAAATGTGAGGACCAGATGTAAGTCACTTTTTTCAATACTGTTGTAATTTTGCATGTTTGCTAAACAAATCATTTTAAGTTGAGGACTGCTGTATTTTACAGTGGTATGTAAGCAAATTTCATAACCTGGACAATCATTGGAAATTGTGTTGGAATCTGGCACTGAGTTTTCGGCAGGAGGAGTAAAGAGGCAAATCAGTCTTGAGTCATTAGGATGCAGAAAGAGGCCTAGGAGGAATAACCCTCCCTAAATCATTACAGTGTTTATCTGATAGTTATGCAGAGTGTACTTTAGTCCGGCAAGATTTCTGTCTATAGGTAAATAGCAATAAAGTAACTTCTTTGAACAGTTCATCATATCTTGGCTCCTTGTACCTGACAGAAATGTATCCAGGGGAATTTAGAATAAAATTGGAGGAAAGTGGTCTGATGACTAGAGGAAGAACAAAAAAAACTTTTTCAGACAGGCAAACTGTAGCATTAATGAGGCTCAGTATAACAATCCTCCCTGACCATAAAGCCTCTCTTGCAGAAACAGCTAACTCAGAAGCATTGAGAAGGCTAGAATTGCCTTTGATATAGATTGTTGTTAGAGGTCAGGGACAGAACACGGAGACATTTGGGGTAATGTTTATCTTGCCATTGCTGAAATTAATGCTGGTCTTCAACTTCCTTCTTTGGTGGACCGGGATGCAATTTCTTTGGGCTCACTGTGGGATAAGTTTTCCAAATTGGAGTTCTCTAGAACTGTTAGGATTACAAAGTCCAAAATTTGCAGCCTCATCAACAGCTGTGCTATCTGAGAATTCAGGAAACGAACAAACAAATCCAGAGAACAACAGAAAGTCGTCCCTAACTCAATAGGATTTGCATCTAGTCCAGGTTTTCTGCCGGAGAAACAATGCTAGGGAAGAGTTCTTCTTTCTTGGATCTCTGCATGAGGCTCAGATTCTGGCTTGGGTTTGGCAGCGTTCCATGCAGGGTCTGGCTCACATCTGCTGAAGTTCTGGTCCCCTAATGAAAAGATAAATGGCAGGCTCCCAAAGTACTTACAACAGCCCAGTGCTGGAAAGGAGCAAGTCAAGTGGCTGCACAATCAAAGAACAAAGGTTCCTCTTCTGTGCTGGCTTTCAGGTTGGCGATCACTGCAAAGAGCTTTGTGTCAGTGGTGGTTGCCTTTGATGCGACTCAAATAGCCTTTTCTCTCCCTCTCCCCTTCTAATGTTTCTGGCACTCCCAGCCCTGCAGCACATTTGAGGCAAAGAATGTACCCTGTCACCACGGCTGCTTCCCTTTATTTGAAGTGTCTCACAGAGCTATCTCCCAAATGACATGCTTCTTTCAGTGAGAATTATTTTCCCCTTGCTTCTATCTGTCAGTGTCCCCCCCCCCGCCATACGACTTTCGGCCTCCATGCTCCCTGTATGTCCAAGCAGGTGTGAAGACAGGCTGGCCCTTTGTGCAGCAGCCTTTTCCTCTCCCTCCTTCCCCTGGCCCGCGTCCAAGGCTGTCACTTTTCTTTCTCCTCTGCCTTGTTTTTCAGCAGAGCACCAGGCTCACTGCTCCTGTCACCTGGGCTGAGGCTGCCTGACCAGTCAGCCGGCCATGGGCTTGTTCTAATCTTACCTTTCACAAAGGCAGGCCTGTCACTCCAGAGGATGAGGGATCTAAAAGTCCAAGCAAGCAGGGTAACATCCTTAAACTCCAGGTAGGGGTCGATTCTGACCCTTGTTGGAGAAGAGGCTTGGAGAGGCCTGGGGTGGCAAAAAGGAAAAGGGGCTCAAGGGTGCTGCTACTCCATATTTGCACCCAATCCAGCCAGAAGAATGTCTCCAATGTTTAATGAACAGAGATAGTTCTGGCTCAGGAAGAAAAAAGGTCTCCCCCAACGGTACTATTGACTTCATCATCAAGAAACCCTTGATGATGCTTACTCTTCATCAAAGTACATGGAGCATCTTTCAGAAATTTAATCCAAATCATCATTGGTCGCCACGATGTAAAAGAGACTCTAGAAAGAGTGCAGAGAAAAGCAACAAAGATTATTAGGGGACTGGAGGTTGTTGGAAATATACAAAAAAAGGTTGCTGGAATTGGGTATGTCTAGTTTAATGAAAAGAAGGACTAGGGTTGACATGATAGCAGTGTTCCGATATCTCAGGGGCTGCCACAAAGAAGAGGGAGTCAAGCTATTCTCTAAAGCAGCTGAGGGCAGGACAAGAAGCAATGGATGGAAACTAATCAAGGAGAGAAGCAACCTAGAACTAAGGAGAAATTTCCTGACAGTTAGAACAATTAATCAATGGAACAACTTGCCTCCAGAAGTTGTGAACGCTTCAACACTGGAGGTTTTTAAGAAGAGATTAGACAACCATTTGTCTGAAATGGTATAGGGTTTCCTGCCTGAGCAGGGGGTTGGACTAGAAGACCTCCAAGGTCCCTTCCAACTCTGTTATTCTATTTCCATTTTGTGCTTCTTTGCAGATCTCCAGTCAACACTGATGAGAGGAGAGGCAGTAGTGTCTGATCCGTCCCAACACAAAACGCCCAGGGTCGGAATCAGATTTTTAAAACTATTTCTCTTTTCTAGTTAGCAAAGACAAGCCATAGATTAAATATAATGACCTCCAAGATAATCGTTCTTATGTCCTGAAACAACAAGTAATCACATACTTGAAACGTGAATAATTTCATCCAGAAAATTCGTAAATATCTGAATTGCACAGAATTTTTTTTATTAATGATGCAAAACTTTTTTATGTCATTGATCCTTTATAAGACATTATGTTACACCTGTGCTGTTTTTGTGAATATATTATACACTTTCTTTCAGAAAGCATCTCCTATTTTGTTCTTAACTGTCTGGGAACTGTTCAGCATCCAATGATCCTCCTTGCCCATTTACCAAAAAAAAACTTCAAAAGCGTGAGCTTACATGTACTGTCTCCATTGAGAACAGGGAAATGCTTGCCCAGTGGAGAACTGGCATCAGAGAAAATGGCCCAGTCACACAGCCCCTGCAGCTGAGGAGGAGCTCCAGAAAGAGATTCTCTCAGTTCAAAGGCTGGGACGTTGTCAATGGAGCTTCTCATTACTTCCAAGGCAGCTCCTACCACATCCCCACTAGCAATCGGCTTTTAACAGCCTGCATACCTGGCACAGAAAGAACAAAAGGTCCAGAGATGCCAACGGGAGTGCATGTGGCATTTGGAGAATAGCTCCTTTATCGGCATTCCTTTTTGTGGCGTGTCTTTATGTCTGCCCAGGATGGGACTATTTGAAGGTGTTGATCTTGCTGAATGGCTTCCTCTGATGTCTTTCCCACTGCTGCTGGTTCATTCCTCTAACATTTGGGCTTCCCTACCCACCACCTTGGCAGAATCAAAGGTTTTAAATCTGGCAACCTTGTTTGCTGGGGCTCAGGCACTTTGATCCTGAAAGGTTAAGTGCCTTAAACTGCCTCAGATATAACATATAAACATGACTGGCCGCTTTGCCTGCTAAAGACTAAGCAAGTAAGATCTCATCAAGCTACACAGTTTGATAAATCTCTATTTATTTGAAAGATGTTTGCCCTACTCTTCAGCCAAGAACTATTTCCACAGCAGTTTACAAAGATGGATAACGATTGTAATAAGTCAGTTCCTTCCCTCAGGAAAAGAAGTGGGTGTACTTTGTTACAGAGTTTTTATAACAGCAACTTGTGAATCTCTTTAGAGAAGGTGCAGTACCGAATTCTGAAGGAACATATTTCAAGTCCCACGACATATTTCTAACATGGTTTTTAACTCCATGAGGCTGATGTGTTCAAAACTGAAACACACATTTAGACATGCATCTTCTCTTATTTTGTACATTTTGTACAAATAATGGTTCCCAAGTTCAGAAAATTTAATTCCCCCCCCAACAGCTGTTCTTGAGGAAATTTCAAGGTACCCACTTGAACAAAGGTTTTGTCCTTATGGGTAGCAGCTTAGAAACCTGGAGCTTTTGTGTGGAGATTTTGACTGTGCTAAAATTTAAAAGAGACATGCACAGCATATGAAAGAAGAGTAGACACTCAACATACTGGCAGGTAGGTAATATTTTCTGGAAGAAAGTCAGAAAGACTAAAGCACTAAAAGAACCAAGAGAGGTAAATGCAACAAAAAGAGCATGTCATTGCTTAATGATGGTAATTGGGACTGGAATTTGTATCACTAAACAATGTAGTCATAAAGCAAAACAATTCTGTCACTTCCCGGTTGCAATTATTAAGTGAATCGCAGGAGGTTATTAAGTGAGGACATAATGTGATAGCAGGGGTGGTTCTACTTACCTTTACTACCGGTTCACAACGGGATCGGGCAGATCGCACATGATGACATCAGGGGTGGTGGGCGGGTCGTCCCGCCGGTTTTACTATCGGTTCTTGCGAACCGGTCTAAACTGGGGGCAACCCACTACTGCATGATAGTAATTTTTCTTTACATTTTGGAGACTGGCAGTGAAGGTTGAAATGGTGACCACATGACTGTGGGATGCTGTCACAATGCAATTATAACCCTGTCACTGATGCCCAGATTGCGAACAAGTAACTTTGGGGATGCTGCAACCACCAGAATTTTGAGGCCTGACTGTAAATATTTATTTAGTGCCATTGCAACTTTGAATGGTTGCTGAATGAGTGGTTATTAAATGAGAACCACCTGGTCTATCTCAGTAGGAAGAGGAAAAGAAGGGGCGGGGGAAAGGAAAAAGGGACATTTGAGAAAGATGGTTGGATAATAACAGGTAACAGACCTATTTGTTTTCTATTTTGATCCAGTGTTTGTCCTAAAAGAGAACTAAAATAACAATTGACACAAGTAGGAGGAACAGCCCAAAAGTGATAATTGAGGAACAACTGGTGACCCATGAACAAGTTTAAGTCTCTAGATCAGATTAAATATATCCAGAAAATTTTGAAACAGATGTAATCTCAAAACGGTGATCTTTGAGAAATCATTTTAAAAATACATTTTTGTTGAACTTTGTAAAGAATATAAATAACAACTGAAGAATTTAGAGTTTAAAATTAAAGTTTAGTTCCAAACTGTTTAAATTATATGCTGAAAAGTACATTAACAATGCAATGTAAAAATGAAGACAGAATAAAGAAAAAAAGGAACAAAATGAATGCAGTGCCAGAGGATTAGAGAAGGGCAAATATTGAAAAAGAACCAAAGAGGATCAGGGTAAGGAAAATCTGATCAGCTTGATACCAATTAGTAGGCCAAACACTATATTAAGCTATTTGTGAAGGTTTAGGAAAGAAGGTATTGCTTGGCTAGAACCAGTAAGATTTTATGAAAAAGTCATGCCAAATCAACTTTTTCTCCTTTTTCCCTAGAGTGGCCAGTTTAACGGTGTGGACATAGTACCACTACTTTACAACAAAACAGTCTAATGAAATTCTAATAAAGGAAGTACCAAAATGTAAATTAGCCTGTGGTAATATTGGATGGATGCAGAGTTGATTAACCAAGCTGATGAACAATTGTAACACATGACTAAACTTCAAGGACTCCATCTCAAGCTGAATTGAGCAATGAATCCTAGGGGTCCTTGAGCACTTTAGCATATTTATAAATAACTTAGATAAGATACTAGAAAATAAGGGATTTGAAAAGATTGCCATTGAATTTACATACAATACAAAAGTAGTAGGGGTGGCAAATGCTTTAGGGGAGAGCATCAAGTTTCAGGATGATCTTCACAAGCTGGAAAAATTGATTCGAAACCAGCAAGATGAATTTCGACAAGGACAACTGCAAAGTCCTGTATTATGGTAGGAGAAATCAAAGGCATGAATATAGGATTGGGAGGATAATATTTTGTGCAGAAGTACATGAAGAAAATTCTAGGTATCTTGGTAGATCACAGGCTAAACGTGAGACAAGAGTTTGATGCAGCTGCATACAAGAAAGAAAAAAAGAGCAAACCTACATGTGTTTCAACAGAAGTTCAAGAGTGTCAAGATCAAGAGAATTCATTGTTTCTTTCTATTCCGCCTTGCTCAGATTTCATCTAGAATATTGTGACTAATTCTAGGCACTGCATTTTTAAAAGGTTCTTGACAAACTGGAACATGTTTAGAGGGGAGAACCTAAGATGATACAGTGCCTGGAAGAACAAACCTACAAGGAACAGCTGAATGCATTTCATGTTTAGCCTGGAGAAAAGAAGACTAGAGAGAGGATAGATGTCTTCAAGTATCTGAAGGACCATCATGTAGAAAGAAGGTGGGGTAGAATTGGTCAGAGTTTCTCCAAATCCATAAGGACAAGAAATGTGTATGGGCTTTAGAGATCATCTAGTCCATATATTATTTGTGTCTGTTTTGTTTTTTTCTTTTTGTGCACTTTTTTCTTTGGATGAGATTATCTCTAAAGTCCTTCCAACTCCTATGGGTGCTACGATTTTACAAATACTTCCTTTAATTCCTACTTTCTTGTCTATAATGCTTTAATACAAAAGTTATTGTTGAGACTAAGAGACTGAAATTTTTCTCACACTCTTTTGCACAAATACAGAGTTACACAGGGATTCTAAAACAAAACAAATATCCAATAAGGCACAAATACATTTGATTGGAATTGAACGTGGTATTTTTTTTATCCACTCGGGGGTGCCAGTACCTAATGTGAGACTCAGAAAGAAGGCGAAGAGAAGGAGTTTGAATGCATGAGGAGAGAGGAAAAAGATGATGTGCAATAAATTCACAGGGAGATTTCCTGCATTTTTCATACCCCCAGACAAAAAGATTCCTCAGGCCATATCTTGGCAACAGGACAACTGGAGGATTTCTGCATCAGCCTTGGGAAATTTTAGCTGGTGCATGAGGCAGGAAAGGTTAAAGATTGATTGATTATGTGCCACAAAATCAATTTTAACTCTTAGTGACCACATAGATTAATTTTCTACATAACAATCTATCCCTAATATCTTTTTTCATGTTTCCCAATGGTGCACTCATTGCCTCTGTAATGGAGTCCTTTCACCTTGCTACTGGTTGTCCTCTTCTTGTTCCTTCCACCTTTCCCCAGGATTTGAGGCTTTTCCAGAAAGCTGGGCCTTTGGATAATGTATCTGAAATAGGATAATTTGAGCCTCGTCATTTGTGCCTTGAGTGGGAACTCTGGGTTGATTTGTTCAATGATCCATCAATTTGTTTTCTTGGCTGTCCACCATATTCTCATGAATCTTCCCCAACATCAAAGTATAAAAGCATCAATACGCTTTCTATTCGGCTTCTTTAAAGTCCAGCTTTCACTTCCATAAACTGTCACAGGGTATATAATGTCTTTATTGGTATGGACACATTACAGCATTTGAATATCTTTTCCAAAGCTTTCATGGCTGCACTACCAAGTGGTATTCTGCACCGTATTTCTACTTTTATTACAGATGTTTATCCTAAAAGGCAGAAGCTATTCACCACTGCAATATCTTTATTGCAAATTCAATTAGAATTTGCTCTTCATTAATTAATTCATCGAGGCTAAAGAGGCAGCTAATCATATGGGGAAAGTATTCCAGTCTCGTGGTGAATGTCCCACCAAGTGATTTCAAAAAGCTAAGTGACTCCATCCCATTCTGAGGAGAGATAGCAATAGTAATAGCACTTAGACTTATATTCCGCTTCACAGTGCTTTACAGCCCTCTCTAAGCGGTTTACAGAGTCAGCATATTGCCCCAACAATTTGGCTCCTCATTTTACCTACCTCAGAAGGATGGAAGGCTGAGTCAACCTTGAGCCTGGTGAGATTTGATCTGCCAAATTGCAGGCAACCAACAGTCAGCAGAAGTAGCCTGCAGTACTTCATTCTAACCACTGCACCACCACGGCTCATCAGATGCAGCTTATGAAGAGATGCAGGGCTTTCTTTTACCAATTCAGGGCCCTTAAGTGCAATTGCCTAACAACTAGTGAACTGTTATGGCATTTCCTGCACTGGGTCAGGTTAATGGTCTATGGTCCATGGAATCAAAATTCTTTGCCTGCCTAACCTTGAATTCCTTTCATCAAGAGTCTGCTGCTTTGAAGAGGAACATCCATTTATCCATTTATGGTTCTGAGGAAGGATTGCTAAGCAGCATCATGATACAAGCCCTTTAAAAAAACTTCATACCTTATCGTGACATATATGCCAACAGGTATGAAATTGTAGATTATCCTTATCATTTTGGGGGGAAGGAGTGGGCTTCCTAGTAGAAAAAAAGCATTAAACAATTGTGCTTATGATTTTCTTAATGAGTACAATTATCTTATTTAAAACATTATAACCGTGGGATCATTTCAAGAATAATCTGTGTTCTACAGACATTCGTAATCTCTGCAAAATTGGAATCTTTTACTTCTCCAAGTTATCTTTGTTGCCAGTAGAAGATTTCTGTGCACATCAGAAAGGACCACGGGGATGTGATGGTCTGCTCGTATGTTAGACTCATGAGCTGTGTTTACATTGGGATGCTTAGTGGTTCCATTAAAGACTTAGCAACAGCCTTTACACAATCTGCCTGGTTTGATTTGGGTTAGTACTTTTGTGTTGAGCATATTATGCAATCCCAGGCCATGTGGTTTGTCATGCCAGAGCATGCCCAAAGCACTTCTTTCCAATGTTTAAAGCAATTGGGTATGTCTAGTTTAATGAAAAGAAGGCTAGGGGAGAAATGATAGCAGTGTTCCAATATCTCAGGGGTTGCCACAAACAAGAGGGAGTCAACTATTCTCCAAAGCACCTGAGGACAGGACAAGAAGCAATGGGTGGAAGCTAATCAACGAGAGAAGCAACTTAGAACTAAGGAGAAATTTCCTGACAGTTAGAGCAATTAATCAGTGGAAAAACTTGCCTCCAGAAGTTGTGAATGCTCCAACACTGGAAATTTTTAAGAAGATGTTGGATAACCATTTGTCTGAGATGGTGTAGGGTTTCCTGCCTAAGCAGGGGGTTGGACTAGAAGACCTCCAAGGTCCCTTACAATTCTGTTATTCTATTCAATTGCATCTTTTCTTCAGGCTTATATGGCTATTTTGGAAACTGTCACAACTCTGTAAGTATGTTTGGTAATGACCACTTCAGTCCACTGGGGAAAAAATGAAATAAAGTGGCAGCCTACAGACACAAATACAAAAGTAGAGGCAATAGTAGGAGCAGCTCCCAAAGCAGGTGAGCCGGGAAATAAAATGTGGCTGCTCTAATAATTTTAACTTCCTCATTCCAAAGTGCCTCCTTTGAAAGATTTGCACAGGGTTATGGAAAAGATAGCGATTACTATAATATAAACCAAAAGAATGCAGCTCTGAAACACAGTTTCTCTATCAAAATACCCTATAACAGTGACCAATAGGCTTCGAGACAAGCTCATCCAGAGAGATCCCACAAGAGATTGATGAAGGATTATGTAGGAGATCAAAACGTTTGGCCAATAGTTATAAATAATTCATTACAGGTAGTCCTCGTGTATCAACCACAATTGGAACTGGCAACTTAGTGGCTAAGTGAAGCAGGCGCTAAGTGAAATTGTAAATTGTGCTTGTGGTCTTATTTCTGCGTTCCTTTGCTGTATAGACCTGCAAAAAGTTGTAAATGTGAGCAGTGGTGGGTTTCACATTTTGTTACCATCGGTTTGCCATGCGTGCGCCTTCCGTGCATGCCCCCAGCATGCACATGTGCTTTGCTCACGCACGTATCTTCCGCGCATGCGCCTGACCTCAAAGATGTGCCTAAATAGAACAACATAGAGCAAGGGTGGGTGGCCAGGTGGTCGGGACCCACCCGCAATTTCCACTTCTGGTTCGCCCGAATCAGTCCGAACCGGCTGAATACCATCTCTAAACGTAAGGCTTGGACACAAAGTTACTTTTCTATCACTGTCATAACTATGAATGGTTGCTAAATGAGGCAATCACTAAATGAAGGTTACCTGTATATTACATAGACAGGAAAACTCTATTGTGACCATAAGGTAGTCAGCCAGATCTAATTGTGAAGCTGGCACCCTAGTCTGGTGATCAACCCTGATGTATACTTCTATTTATTTTATGATACATTCCTTTTGTATACTTCTCCCTAAACTATAAGTCCATACCTTAATGCCTTGTTGCTCAGGGGCATTTTACTCTGAATTATAGTATTAAAGGGCATCGGGGACTCTACTCTACAATCCTTGGTTGAGAGACATGCAATGGACCTTTTGGGGGCAGCCATCTGTAGGAGGAAGCATGGAATGATCTGAGTAGTGCCTCCTTGCATAATTAATATCAGATCCTCAGCAATGAGTGAGGTAAGTGGTCTTCTCCGTAAGATTCTGTAGAAGAGGATGTCATTGGTTTTTTTTTTGAAAAAAGTTTTTTATTTTTATTTTTCATCAACATGTTTAAATGTACAGTCTTTTATCCATCCTTATACATTGTTCGTTCATCTTCTTCTTTAACTTC